GTTTGTGCCTGTTTTGAGCTTTCTGCAGCAGTTGCTGCTGCTGGTTGCTTTGTGCAGCAGTTGCTGCTGCTGGTTGCTTTGTGCAGCATTTGCTGCTGCTGCTGGTTTTCCTTGCCTTTGCTGCTGCTGTTGGGTTTTGTTTGTTGGAAATTTGCAGTAAAAGAAATAATGAAAGAAAATTTGACTTGTATTCCTCTCAAAATCAATTACAATTTGGATTCCGATTACAAAAGAGAGGAGAATGAATTTGATTCTCCCCTTTGTTTAATTCTGGGTTCTTCACGGTGGCGATGAGATGCCTCCCTCGAATGCTCGCGTCGAGTTTGCTTCTCGTTGACGATCCGAACGTCTTGATTCACTGGAACGATGTCTTCTCCTCACGATTTGACGCTGTGGAGAACTTGCGTGGCAAGTTTTGAAATAACTCTTGACGAGTTGATAACTCTGAACGAGTTTTAGAAGAACTTGCAGAGCAAGTTTTGAACTCTGATCGAGTTGATAACTCTGACGAGTTTTAGAAGAACTTGCAGAGCAAGTTTTGAACTCTGATCGAGTTGATAACTCTGAACGAGTTTGAACTCTTGAAAAAGAGTTGATTTGAACCGAAAGTCGGTTATAAGCCAAGGGAATGCTCCTGTGGTCGATCGTTGCTGAGGATGAACGTCGATCGCCCCCTTGCTGCCCAAAAAGAAGGATCCCAGAGCCCAGAGCCAAAAGCCAGCCAAAAAGGAGCGCCCGAACTCAGTTGAGTTTCCCACTATTTATAGGGGGTTTAGGGGTGGCAACTGCCCCCTTAATTAGCTCCTCCATGGGCTGAGTGGGGTGTAACCACCCCCTCTTAAACAGCTCCCGAAATAGTGGGGAAAACGGTTTTGAAACCGTTCTGTTAGTGCTTTGAACGAGTCAAAACGCTGAAAACAGCGTTCTGGGCCTTAACTCTGCGTCTTATTGATGAGACGCAGAGTTAGGCACTTGCTGGGAGTTGAAAACGCAAGGTTCTCTTGCGTTTGGACCTAAACTCTGCGTCTTAAAGATGAGACGCAGAGTTAGGCGTTCGCTAGGAGTCGAAACGCACAGGCCACATTGGGGCTTAACTCTGCGTCCAAGACTTAGGACGCAGAGTTAAATCTCTATTGGAGATTTGAAACGCACAGGCCGCATGCATTCTGAAATTGGAAACGCACAGGTCACTGGTGCGTTGAGGATCAACTCTGCGTTCAGAGTTTGGGATGCAGTCGAGTCTTTTCAAACCGTACGTCGGAATTGGACGAATTACATATGAAAATCGGCTATCTCGACGAGACGGGGCCATCCGAACCGAGCCGAAGGCTATGGTTCGCTTCCTCCGTTTTGCCAAATTCCTTACGGTTTGAGAGATATATGCGTTTTAATATGAAGAGACCGTCAATTTGTAGTCTCTTTTGTTAGAGCGTTGCAAAGATCGTCACCTTGTAACCTTCGTCTTGGCTCCTTGAAAATATGAGAGTCGTCAGATTGTAACTCCCGATGTTGATTGTGAATGCTGTTGAATTAGAGATTTCATCAGTTGTCGTGAAGGTCGTCAGATTGTAGCCTTCTACGTGAAAGTCCTCAAATTGTAGCCTTCTGGAAGTCGTCAGATTGTAACTTCCATCATCGGTGTTTGATGGGGGATCAACTATCTATTGTGATTTTTAGACAGCCTACACCCCCTCTCGTATAGGGCTACGCGGCAATAGTTCTCGGAGATACAACGACCCTCGGTCAGGCAACCTCCTTCTCATCGGCACGAGCTTCAAGAAGACTTTGCGAATTCTCCTCGACTTTCAGGAAACCAGCGGAAGTGTAATAGCAAAAAAATATTTTCGAAAAGTGAAGAGGAAGAGAAGAGATATGTTTCTTGACAATGTACTTAACCCTCGCATATACCGATCTTTATATAGGTTGAGAGTCGCGTGCGTTTTCCCACAAATCCCGCGGCAATTAACATGTTTAATGCTAGCTGTTTCGTCATTTAAGTCCATAAATCCACAGTTAATATGTTTTAATTACTCGCCCATTTATCCTAACCGTTACAAAATATTTATCACGTTTTAGTTGTAAAAGAAAAACATTAATCACGTTTTTAATCTACATCATATTAATTATGTTTTAATTATTCTAATTAGCAAAACATTAATCATATTTTTAATCTGCATCATATTAATTATGTTTTAATTATTCCAATTAGCAAAAACAAAATATAGCAGGTTAAGAGCCCCTCAATCCGGAGCTGCATTCGTGTCCGTAGGTCGTGTGCACGCGCCACCCGACCCAACCCGGCAGGCGCGCGCGTGTGGTATAGAGCGTAACCTTTATTTTTTTTCTAGGCATAAGAGAGAAGGGAAATGCTTATAAACACCATTCCTTCTTATTCCATTTCCTATGTGGGACTTAACATTCCCACTACAATGTTAAGTTTTAAGTTACACTTATTATAACTCCAACACAACATTGATCATAAGCTAATCAAACAAGAAACTTTGAAGTCCAGGACAATGCTTAGCAAGTACTACTAGTTTTCATATAATGCAATGCTAATTGCCCATCATATTGCATCTCATTATTTTCCTTTCCACTTAAAAGAAGCTGAAGCCTTTGAAGGCTGGTGTTTGGCATCCAGGCTCTTATCATACTCCTCGAGGCACTTGAAGAGCTCAATGACGTTTCCTTTTCCGAATCCTCCACAGCCACCTTTTTGATATTCTTTTCCCTGCTCATCCATTGCCATGCATCCAATCCTTTGTATAATTTCTAGAAATATTGTTGGCCTGCAGTTACCATATCATTGACGATAAAAAAAATAAGACCATGAGACATTAAATAAACTCAATAAGGGTCATTCGATTAATGTCTACCTCTGGTATAGAATTACTGGTTAACTTTGTTTTCTAAGGAAACATTTTGTTCACTTTATGCTTCAGATCGAAACAAAAATATTTCGCGCGGCTTTAGTCACACTTATTTATGATTAAATCTTTTGGATTAATTTTAGATACCCCCCTCAACGAGGGGTGTCTCTAAAAAAACCTCTCAACTCTTTTAATTTGAGAAAGCCTCCAAAAATTTGAGCATATTGTCACCTCAATTTTGAAAATTTGAGAAAAACTAACTTTTCTCGCTTAAACCCCTCAACCATGCAAGAATCATTTGCGACAATAAAATTAAGTTACATACGCCCATACTTATTTCACGGCACGTATAGACATATTGCAAAGGATTAAACGGTGACACAAATGAAGAAATATTGCAAGCCACGACATATGTTGTGTGTCTTTAGATACAAAATAAAGGAAAAGTATCTCAAATATGGGGTGTGATTTTTGTGATATAATTCGACAAATAAAATAAAAAGATCTCAAATATGTGTCATGAGTTTTACAAGACATTTCTATTTGTGCAGAAAGACCCTCTCCATAGATGTTGTAGCACACCTTCGACTTGTGTCACGCTCCATTTGTGTGACATGAAAATGTGACGAGAGATAACAAAAAGTATCACGAGATATAACTTTTGCAATAGTGATTCTTTTGGTCCAAGGGATAAAAGCTTTTGACTTTTTTTCTAAGGTAAAGGAAGCATTCTTTTCAAAGTAAGGGGGTGGAAGCAGTTTTCTCAATATAATATATGGTACTATCTGCAACTTCTCATCTAATTCTATACGAATACAATTGACTAGTGTATTAAGTCTGTGTGTTGTTGCGGGTATTATTTCCCGAGGTATGTCTATCATCAAATTTATAGTATGGATTTTAAACATAACTGTTTGTTAAAACTTCAGCGATAATTTTTTTACTACTATTTGCACAGTGAGTTTCCAAACAAGTTAACAAAATAATACACTAATTATCAAGTTTTATTGATTTTCCATAATAGAGCTATAAGATATTTATATTCGTGAAATGTTTGATAAATGTTAAATTCATCATTTGCAAGACCTAATAATAATAATAAAGGAGATATGAACAACATTTTCAAGATTTAAAAAAATACTACTGCAACTTGAATGGTGGATACTGGGCCTAAAAATTTACTGTAGCATATAGATTATATATGTTTAAGACCCAAAAATTATACTGTAGTATGAACATATTTTAAAATAAAATTCAGGTAAATAGGTATAATATGAAATATTATTGCAGCATAAATGACAATTTAAATATTTTGAATCCTACTAAGGCAAGTATTGTCTTTTCTATAGCATGAATAGTTAGATGATGTAGATAAGTGACATGATATATAGAATATGAATGAATAAAACAACGTCCACTCGATAAATGAGAAAAATAGAGAACCTTGGTACCAAATTGTTTCAAGCAACTTGGTAGTGATGTGACCTAATCTAGCTCCTACATCACATCTCGAAGATAGAGTCTCAACCACCTTTCACCAATTCCAATGTAGATGTAGAGATCGGATTAGGCCACATCACTACCAAGTTGCTTAGAGCAACTTAGTACCAAGTTTCTCCATTATTCTCTCGATAAATTAACAGCTATGATAAAATTTATAGTTTCTCAGCTACCTTTTAACAGTAGAGATAGAACCTAATTATAATTAATATTACAGGATTTCAATCTTTAGAAAAATAGGAGAGGGATTATTACTTTAATCCTCATGCATCTTCCGATATTTAATTAGCGGAACTCCCATAAATATAGAAACCAATAAACACCGACAAATGGACAATAATAAGAATCCAGTACCTGTCTCCAATGGGTTTAGTAAAAATCTGAAGCAAAACACCTTGATCATCCCTGTCGACAAGCAGCCCCAGCTCCTGGCACTCCCTAATCTGCTCATCGCTCAGCACATCCCCTGCCCTCCTCTCCACCCCCTCATAGTAATTCGGCGGCGGCCCTTGCATGAACTCGAACCCTGAAACCGCCTTCATCTTCCTCACCGTCGTGATCGCGTCGTCGCTCCTCAGCGCGAGGTGGTGCACTCCAGGCCCACTGTTGTGGTCCAAATAAGTCTGTACCTGGCTCCTCCTCCTCGTTCCGTGGACTGGTTCGACCAGCGAAAGAAGCACGGTCTCATCATTGTTGGCTAACACGGCAGTATTCAGGCCGCTCTCCGCGGTTCCTATGTCCTCGGTGGTGAATTCTGCAAACTCATGGAAACCTAGGAACTTCTTCATGTAGGAGAAGACGGGTCCCAGCTTCTGGACGCTGTCGACGGCGTGATCGAGACTGTGGAGCCCGTAATCAAGGTCCTCCGAGCTACGTTTGGTGGTGGCAAACCCCGGCAGGAAATCGACGGACGGATCAGAGCCGGAGACAAAGCGGAGGACGACGTCACCATAGAGGGCGACCTCGGCGAGGCAGAACCCGTGGCCTAGGTCGGTAGGCGGGAAGGTGGGGACAGCCCCGTTGGCGACAGCGATGGTGAACGCGGCAGCGGCGTCACTGACGGAGAGGGCGATGGCACGGACGGCGACCAACCGGGGAGAGATGAAGGTTTCTGCGGTGGCAGCCGAGAAGGAGGGAATGGAGGCGAAGCAGCGGAGGTGTGGCGGCAGCGGACAAGGAGCGCTGAGAGGATGGAGAGCGGACAGTGCTGCTGAAGTCCATTACGACGGAGGAGGAGGGAATGGTGAGAAAAGTTGGAGGTGGAGAATGTTAGATATAGGTGCCCTGCAGGCAATAATTGTATATTGTAACAGGACCTATATAAATATAATATCCTTGTTCAAAATAATAGTATGCTATTTTGGTCAGATTTATCTGGTAGTTTTATATTCAGATAAAGTCCTTAGAATGATACTAGACTATCAGACATTACGGATATGATCGTAATGAAGAGATCTGATTTGTCGCTAACGTATATTCTAAAATGTTCCTAGTCGATGAAGTGATGTAATGGGACATGATCACTTTGGTAAGACTAGTGTATACTTTATTTCTCCTTTGGAAGGATGATGATCCATCTCTTAGATCATTGATGTGAGACATCAAGATATAGTATACAGGTGACTCATTAGTGAATGAGTTGACTGAACGACTCACTGAGAACATCTAGTTGGTAATTATACTTAACTGTCAAATAGAAGTTCTCAAGTGATATAGTACATAGTAGTCTCATGACCTGAGGCATGAGTGCAATATCTTACATGTCAGTATAGGTGTACTTAGACTTTTACCTAACCACAGTTCTCATCGAGTTGTGCATAACGGTTCTTGTTGGGTACATCCCGAGACATAAGTAGATATTGAGATGCCAAGAAGGGATTCGTCTCCCCCAGTATAGGGGTTGATGTCATAAGATTGTTTGATATAACTATAACCTGAAAATCCTTGGCCAAGGTAAATAAGATAAACTGATTGTCAGTTTGATCTTATAGGTTATGAGTTTAATATCAACAAACACTAATTGAGCAATTAGGGTTTGACAGTTTTCCATACCCTAGGCTTAATAGTTTGACATGGTTTGACGAAGAGACCGGACTGTACGGCATTATCACTGAGTGGTCCTGATATAATTGTGTTAGCATCTTGCAGACATTTATCACAACTTATACCCGGGTAGTCTTCATGTGTAGCTAGCACCTCTGTTGTACTTGTGGATATGATCCACTGCCGAGTTCTTAAGTTGGGCCCTAGAGTCACACCAAGCGCGTACTTGAATCCTATGAAACACAATTTATAGAGTGATGCGTATGATTGATACGCATATATGATTTTATCGGATACACATAAACAGTTATGTATATCGATAAAATCGGAATGCTATGTGCTTAGGAAATAAATTCTAGTATTTTTCCTATAAAGTTAACTTTTAGTCAACTAGTTGACTTTTTGGTCAACAGTTGACTTTTGGTCAACTCATTGACTTTTTGGTCATATGATGACTTATTAATCAATGATTGGAAAATTACAAAATATCGTATTTATGAAATACAATATTGATTTGGTATTCTCATTTATGAAATACACATACCATGTATAATGAGTCATGAGATGAGTCATTTAGTGGTATGGTTTGAGCACATGGTTTATTAGCACATGGTTTTGAAATGTAATGATTCATGAGATGATTCATTGCATGACTCACTAGATTAATCATTGATATTTGATGATTCATTGCATGACTCATAGGATGAGTCATTCATGTCATGAACACATTTCACTCTATAAATATGAGCTCTCTTTCTTATGGAAAGGTTAATGAAAAATTGGCTAAGTGGTTTTTCCATAAGAGAATAAAAGAGAGCTCTCCTCTTACTAATTTCTAGCAATCTTGAGTAAGAGAAAGTAGTAGGATTTTAAAGTACCCCGGGGTGGATATCTTGCCTTGTGTCTCAAGAAGACTCCGATTTTATCAAGCTCACTTGAAGACTTGGAGATCCACTACGAGGAGATTTACTACTACAAGGAGCAAGAGTTAGGGGTTGTTCGATCTTCCATCGAATCACGCTTCAAAAGTATGACTTTATAACCCTTGTATGCTCTCTTTAATATAGGGATTATGTTAGATTTAATTAGAATGGTCCTATAATGTATTTCATGCTCTCTACATGCATAGCATAATTATACATATAGTCTTCCGTTGCGTATTTTGCATGTATGAAGCATGGATTCCCTTCATGGTATCAGAGCCATGGTTCCATCTAATTAAATCTTAACATGCATATCTAACTCATAGAGGACTTTGTTCTTGCTTCTAATTACTAGTTTAATTAAAAGATGTTTTAATGAAACTAGTTAATTTATTCAAGTTGTTTTGTAATAAATTATACTAGTTGTTGATTCAAAAATGTGATTTTTGGTTCATATGTTTTTAGGAGTAAAAACACTTGTATAAATTGCAAAACATTTATTTACAACTAGTGTAGTTGTATGTTAGAAGCATGATAGTCTTATTTGAGTTAGGATAATCCCTATGTTATCTAGTTTTCCAATTTGTTGCATAACTAGATAGATGCATATTTCTTAATGTTGATTAAGTTATATGTTTTATATCATCTTGCATGGATGTTATGTTTATGGATGGTAGTGGACAACGATTCTCTTGCATTTATTGTATTGATGTAATATAGCTAAAAATGTAATATTATTTTTGACCTCTTTCCTCCCCGAGCATGGGCTACGCCTACGGGTTTTGGCACTTGCTCACCGATCATGGGCTACGCCTATGGGTATAGGCCCTTGTTCGGGTGTGGGGGGGGGGGGGGTATGGTTATTTAGTTTAGTTATTTCATTTATGGCTTTTATTTTACATTCAATGCAATATTATTACCCATCCTACGAGATGGTTTTTCCATTATAAATGGGGCTTGCACGTCCTATGTATATGTGAATGTAATAATACAGGATTTGCAAGGGAGCTAGCAATGTAAGGAGTTGCAAATTGCTTGCCAAAATGTAATTAGTGTAGTTGCATTTTATTTCCTTAGTTGTCCACTACCATTCCATATTGCTTTTACATATGTTGATATGTTGGTTGTGCCCCAATTGTAGATGTCTATACAATTGGGTGCTATATTTTACAAAGTTTATATCTCTATCTCATTAGAGAATAGTTTTTATTATAAAAACTCATTTTTTAAACTTTGTGAGACATGGCAATAAGAGTTTATTGACCATAGAGTAGTGAGATCGACATTAACATAGTGTTAGTGTGAAAGATAAATAAACCTAAAGCAGTTAAAAGAGATGTATTTAGAACGAACTTTTAACTAGTGTCTAGGAAAGTGATTATAAGATATAACTCATGGGGTGATGCCCAACTTAAGATAAGGGGGTGATGCCCAATCTTTCGCGTTATAGTCTTAAAGAGAAGTGGTTACTTAATTAAGGTCCGATAAATATTCCCGGTGAATAGCTCGGAACCCTCCCACCAATCTTGCGCTTTCCTGGCTAGTTTAATTGTTGCAAGTATAAATATAGAGCATCTTTAAACTATATCAAGTTCGATTACGGTAAAAGATTTGAGAAATCGTCCGTAGCCCTCCATCATTTTAGTTAAATACTATTAAGCTTATAAATACTATGTTTGTTGGCATACGTCAAGGCATAACTATTCTATGGCTAAATAGTATTCATCTGTATATAAGATATAAGGATAGCTTAAGTTGGTTATGCAACTTTGTTGGCATACGTCAAGAGTTTGCATAAGTTAAATTTAAGCCAGTCAAGAAATGATGGGTACAAACTTGACTAGCATTTTATGATTTGTTGGCATACGTCAAGGTCATAAAAGACTAGGGGTAAAATCATATCAAGAATTACAAGAGTGTAAAAGACAAAAGTTGTCTACCAATTATTGAATGTGTTAATTTGTTGACATACGCCAAGGTTGATGCATTCAATGATAATTGGATCTTGATCCCACTTGAAAACAATGAGTTGTTTTCCGATCACCTATTATAAGGTTTTGAGGGACTCGAAAAATAGTGGGAGGCATAACTTAGATAAAAATAAACCAAATCTATTTTATGTATTGAACATCTGCTAAAATACCTTTTCTCTCTCTTTCAGGCCATTATGTCTGGTTTAAAACTCATATTGGAACAGAACAAGTTAACCGGTCCTAATTACAAAGACTGGTTGAGGAATGTTAAAATTGCCCTAACTTATGACAAAGTAGCATATGTCCTCACTGCGCCCGAACCTGTTCTAGGCCTAGAACCCACTATAGCGGAAACTGAAATCCGCAATACATGGGATAAAGATTGTTCACTTGCTCAATGCCTCACCATTGCCTCTATGGATTTGGTCCATCAGAGACAACATGAGAATATGGATATCAGATCCATATTTCGTAATACAGAAGAACTGTATGGCGAGCAACCGCGACAAATGAAGTACGCGGCGTCTAGGAATCTGTTCCAGACGAAAATGACTGTGGGATCTTCTGTTGGGGATCATGTCCTCAAAATGATCGCCTATGTCAATGAGCTTGAACTTTTGAACGTAGGCCTAGATGCAGATAGATATACAGATATCATTCTGCAGTCCTTGACACCAGCATACTCCCGATTCATATCACAGTTTTTGATGATGGATCTGGAGCCCACTCTTCCTGCCTTGCTTAATTTGTTAAGACAGGAAGAAAGTTCTTTGAAAAAGGGACAAACACCAGTCTTGGCTATAGGGCAATCTTCTTCCTCTTCTGGCAAATTGGTTGCTAAGAAAAAAGGAATGAAGAAAACTACTAAACCAAGGAAAGGTGTTAAGAAGGCTGTCAAGAAGGATAAAGGAAAGGCAAAAATGATGACAGCAGAATGCTTCCATTGTCATAAGTCAGGACATTGGAAAAGGAACTGCCCAGAATACCTAGCCTCACTCACCAAGAATAAGCAAGTTGTTGCTTCATCTACAGGTGTGTTTGTTACTCAGAATTGTTTTTCTATAAATCATACATCCTGGGTATTAGATACCGGATCAGGATCTCACATCTGTAATTTGTTACAGGGACTTAAAAGTTATAGAAAACTTGGAGCTGGAGAGATGACTCAGAGGGTTTTGTAGTCAGTGGGAGTAGTGGAAAAGCATGTAGATTGCTTAAATCTATTTATGGACTGAAGCAAGCATCACGGAGATGGAACATCTGTTTTGATGATGCTATCAAAGAGTTTGGTTTCATCAAAAATCCAGATGAACCATGTGTTTATAAAAGGATAATTGGGAGTATAATATCGTTTCTTATTTTGTATGTAGACGATATACTCTTAATCGGTAATGACATACCGTCATTACAAGCGGTTAAAATTTGGCTATCAAAAAGATTTTCCATGAAAGATTTGGGTGAAGCATCCTGTATACTGGGTATTCAGATCTATAGAGATAGATCTAAAAGGATATTAGGATTGTCCCAATCTAGATACATTGGCAAAGTGCTAAAGCGGTTTAGCATGGAAAATTCCAAGAAAGGTTTTGTACCTGCATCTCCTGGAATCTCGCTCTCTAAAAAGATGTCTCCCCAGACTGATGAAGAGAGGAAACGCATGAGTCTAATTCCTTATGCCTCGGCAGTAGGATCGATCATGTATGCCATGTTATGTACTAGACCGGATATCGCTTATTCACTCAGTTTGGTAAGTAGATACCAATCTAATCATGGAGAAGAGCACTGGAAAGCGGTCAAAAATATACTTAAGTACCTGAAAAGGACTAAAGAGTTATTTTTGATATATGGTAAAAGTGACCTCCAAATGGAGGCTTTTTCCGACTCTAGCTTTCAGAGCGATATAGATGATAGTAAATCTGTTTCAGGATATGTTTTTACCCTCAATAGAGGGGCTGTCAGTTGGAAAAGTTCCAAGCAGGACACAGTAGCAGACTCTACTATGGAAGCCGAATACATTGCGGCAAATGATGCAGCCAAAGAAGCTGTCTGGATGAGGAAGTTTCTTTCAGAGCTGGAAGTTGTTCCCACCATTAAAGATCCAGTACCTTTATACTGTGATAGTAATGCTGCAATAGCTCTGACAAAGGAACCCCGGTCTCACCATAAGTCCAGACACATTCTGAGGAAGTATCACTTGATCAGGGAGATAGTTGATCGCCGGGAGATCAAGATTGAAAGAGTTGACACAAAAGATAATATAGCAGATCCATTCACAAAGGCAATTGCTCGTACACAATTTGAAAAACTTGTTGAGCTATTGGGTATTAGATACTACAATGATTGGCCTTAGTGCAAGTGGGAGTTTGTTAGATATAGGTGCCCTGCAGGCAATAATTGTATATTGTAACAGGACCTATATGAATATAATATCCTTGTTCAAAATAATAGTATGCTATTTTGGTCAGATTTATCTGGTAGTTTTATATTCAGATAAAGTCCTTAGAATGATACTAGACTATCAGACATTACGGATATGATCGTAATGAAGAGATCTGATTTGTCGCTAACGTATATTCTAAAATGTTCCTAGTCGATGAAGTGATGTAATGGGACATGATCACTTTGGTAAGACTAGTGTATACTTTATTTCTCCTTTGGAAGGATGATGATCCATCTCTTAGATCATTGATGTGAGACATCAAGATATAGTATACAGGTGACTCATTAGTGAATGAGTTGACTGAACGACTCACTGAGAACATCTAGTTGGTAATTATACTTAACTGTCAAATAGAAGTTCTCAAGTGATATAGTACATAGTAGTCTCATGACCTGAGGCATGAGTGCAATATCTTACATGTCAGTATAGGTGTACTTAGACTTTTACCTAACCACAGTTCTCATCGAGTTGTGCATAACGGTTCTTGTTGGGTACATCCCGAGGCATAAGTAGATATTGAGATGCCAAGATGGGATTCGTCTCTCCCAGTATAGGGGGTTGATGTCATAAGATTGTTTGATATAACTATAACCTGAAAATCCTTGGCCAAGGTAAATAAGATAAACTGATTGTCAGTTTGATCTTATAGGTTATGAGTTTAATATCAACAAACACTAATTGAGCAATTAGGGTTTGACAGTTTTCCATACCCTAGGCTTAATAGTTTGACATGGTTTGACGAAGAGACCGGACTGTACGGCATTATCACTGAGTGGTCCTGATATAATTGTGTTAGCATCTTGCAGACATTTATCACAACTTATACCCGGGTAGTCTTCATGTGTAGCTAGCACCTCTGTTGTACTTGTGGATATGATCCACTGCCGAGTTCTTAAGTTGGGCCCTAGAGTCACACCAAGCGCGTACTTGAATCCTATGAAACACAATTTATAGAGTGATGCGTATGATTGATACGCATATATGATTTTATCGGATACACATAAACAGTTATGTATATCGATAAAATCGGAATGCTATGTGCTTAGGAAATAAATTCTAGTATTTTTCCTATAAAGTTAACTTTTAGTCAACTAGTTGACTTTTTGGTCAACAGTTGACTTTTGGTCAACTCATTGACTTTTTGGTCATATGATGACTTATTAATCAATGATTGGAAAATTACAAAATATCGTATTTATGAAATACAATATTGATTTGGTATTCTCATTTATGAAATACACATACCATGTATAATGAGTCATGAGATGAGTCATTTAGTGGTATGGTTTGAGCACATGGTTTATTAGCACATGGTTTTGAAATGTAATGATTCATGAGATGATTCATTGCATGACTCACTAGATTAATCATTGATATTTGATGATTCATTGCATGACTCATAGGATGAGTCATTCATGTCATGAACACATTTCACTCTATAAATATGAGCTCTCTTTCTTATGGAAAGGTTAATGAAAAATTGGCTAAGTGGTTTTTCCATAAGAGAATAAAAGAGAGCTCTCCTCTTACTAATTTCTAGCAATCTTGAGTAAGAGAAAGTAGTAGGATTTTAAAGTACCCCGGGGTGGATATCTTGCCTTGTGTCTCAAGAAGACTCCGATTTTATCAAGCTCACTTGAAGACTTGGAGATCCACTACGAGGAGATTTACTACTACAAGGAGCAAGAGTTAGGGGTTGTTCGATCTTCCATCGAATCACGCTTCAAAAGTATGACTTTATAACCCTTGTATGCTCTCTTTAATATAGGGATTATGTTAGATTTAATTAGAATGGTCCTATAATGTATTTCATGCTCTCTACATGCATAGCATAATTATACATATAGTCTTCCGTTGCGTATTTTGCATGTATGAAGCATGGATTCCCTTCAGAGAAATCGGAGTAGGCGGTGATGGGGAGGCCGAGGGAGAAGGAGAAGCGAGAGGCGGCGGCGGAGGCGTCCGCGGTCCAGAACTGCACGTGATGGAAGGAACGGACGGGAAACCGGTCTGACTGGGGGTTGGACCGGACGAACCGGTTGAAACCTACAAGCTTGAACTCCTCGGTCTCTTCTTCTTCTTGCTCGGGCTTCACCATTTTGAAAGCTCTGATCCTATTTTGTACCGTATAATATGATGTGCGAAGCCATATTGATGGCTGATAGCTTTATAAGTTGCACTCCCCATTGTTTAGAGGTGTTAAATGGGTGGGTATGGGTTTTAAATGGGCGGGCCATAAATGGGCGGGCATATTTTGCCCATTTACCCATTTATGACCCATTTAACATTATTTAAATGAGCGGGTTTTTGCCCGTCCATTTAATAAACGGGTCGTCCATTTGCCCATTTGCCCATTTAACTATAGCTAACACACTTTAACATATTTACATCACGAACATGATTAAAAGATCATATTTACACATAACTGTGCTTTAAACCATGTCTCTAAACATTACCATGCAGTTTTTTCAAGATCTACATAAAAAACAACAATATATTTTTTCCCCGGCTAAGCGAGTAACAAGTATATAGACTATGAAAACATAGGAGCAGGGATTTCATTCCAGAGCTTGGAAACTAGGGGTAAGTTCTGCCTGCTTCAGAAGCAGCAGCACTCCTCCAATACACAGCAACAGCAAAGGGCAGTCATACTGCAACAATGAAACAAAGATCAGAATACATGACAAAGATAAGTTTTGAAAGAACAAAATTACTTATCGTCCACTACAGTCAAAATTCATCTCTCGAACATGGTCATGGTAGAGGATTTACGCACAACAACCTTATCGAATTTGAGAAGCATCCAGCAGGAACAGCTTCAGTTAAGCAATGCATACCTGTAGTAAATCTAACATTTGGTAAATCAGAACGCACTGGCCAAATTGACAATGCTGCGACTGACAATAATCACAACGCAAGGAAACGGTATAAACATATTACAGAAATCAACCAAAATAACTGCAAGATTGCATTTAACCGTTGCAGCAAAATATTACAGGCAAAAGCCTACCTACAGAAGATTAAAAAAAAACTCCCTAGAAATTTTACCATTTTACCTCTATTAAGTTAGCTATTATCATATCCTTCTCAATTGATTGAACTATAAGAACTTCAAAGACATGTAGGGGTGAAATTATGGGATGGGACTGGTGAGAGCATTAAATGAAGTTGAAAAACAGTAGCATACGAAAATTTTAGATAGCATGTTGACCAGACCCAATACAAAACTACGTTGTTTTATGAAAGAAAACTAGGTGTGAATGGAGGGAACTGAAGCAAAATAGTTAATGCTCGCGGACATTGGTAAAGTGTAACAACAGACAGACTAGGTTCTTTACAAATTTTCTATGTCTCATTGTAAAGGCAATGTATTGTGGGATATTCGGAATATTTTACATGGAAACACCAAGCATAAGAGAAATTATCCCAGACCCATATTAATATTAATCATGCACCTGATTGGCATGAGTTTTTTCATGGGAAAATGTGCATATATGGAATACTCTTTCTTATGATTCATACTATGTAATTATTCATTTATATATCCAAATAGAATGTACGGGTAATATAATTTAATCTGAACCATTAATGTACTACTACACAAAAGACACACATGCAAGATAAGAGAACAGGCTCACCATTGACAATGTAATGCCTTCTAGACCTTGGCTATGAAGAAATACATCTCTAAAGTTAGCTGGCTCACCTTCCATATCAGAATCAAAGAACAACATCTGTTCAATATATCGACTTGTCAGTAAATATTCCCAGTAAAACCATCAGAAGAGGTATATAGATAAAAAAAAAAAGAAAACCAAAAACAGGAATCCTTGGTACATATGTTGTAATATGATAGTGCTGACATCATCCAAAACATCAAGGTTTTAAAGAAAATACCTTCAGCTATGAAGCATACGATGGACATGTGTCAAATCAGATGGACAAGCAGGAGAGCAGGAACAAAACAACCACATCATAGCTAATAATGGTTAAAGAACATGAGATCAAAATCAGCATAAATTTCCCTTAGTGACAAGCCTTGATATATTTATGTGTATAATTAGAAAGATTCTAAAGCAGATGTGTTAACTTTTAAATTCAACATATGTATGGTCCTCAATCAATAACAAATAACATCCCATCTCTTCTTTAAACTTTAGGGACATTGGAAAAGGAAATATGTATCTCTCCATTTTTCTTGACTACCAATCTGTCAACTTCCTTTCACATGTTTAGACAATTTTCACATGTTTAGACAATGAATGGAATTGCATGTGCCTGCGTAATGTTGTATATAGAATATACATTTTGCATGTATTACATTCATGGTTTAGCACTAGCTTACATGACCAAGTAGCAATTAGTCAGTTAAAGTAACTGGAAAGGATGGCACTACGTGCTGAATATCATTGTTAGAACAAAGTAGAAATTGTAGAACAAAAGAAGCATTTTTACTCAATTTTTTAATTAAACAATAGTAAAAGTTAGAATATGGATGAAATAGCTTTACTCTACGGCACGTAGAATGAATACCGATGTTGTAAGATAGTCGTCCACTTTAATTACATACAAGGGTGTTACCTGTCCTGCAGCGTAAGAAGAGTTCATTGTTTCGGCTTATTTTCCGCAAAAATGTGCTTAAACAACTATAAATTTAATGCACATTTGTGGGAGATTAGAGATTGCTCCAATCTAGGATAACATAAATTGGTTGCGTACAGCAGAGGCAATTGAATGCCCAGTTGGAAGAAGTAATAAGGTTATAGTTAGTGGGGCTAAAAGGATCAAGAGCTGGACAAAGAAGCAATTGAGAAGGATATGATAATAGCTAACTTAATAGAGGAAATAACCCCAATACTCACAACGCACTGGCCAAATTTTATTATTTTTTTTTGGTTTTTTTTGTTGGGGGTTCTGAAATTATCCCTTAGAAATACAATGACATGCGTTTTGGACAGTGCATAACCATGCTAATCTCTAAAGTCTGAATCAAGTCCATTAATTAAATGATTATAACCTTGATCAAGTATCTAGCTATCTCAAATTCTCAAGCTTTAAACATAAAAATGTCGTGAGAAAAAACTCATCATTAAATGAAATTGCTTTCGAATTTCCAGAATTATATTGTTCCAATCAAGAATTTACATTTCCCTATAAAAATTTCACGAACAGGATAGTAAATCAAGTGAAGCCCTAATCAACAAACAACAAAGCTAACACTTTAAACTAATAACCAAAGAAAAACCTCATCAACTTCTTACAAATCGTTTTCTTCTATTAGATCAAAGCCCACGATTTCTAATTAACATCCGAAAGAACCCAAATCAATTTTAACAAAACACGTCCAAAATTATAAGAAATATCATGATATTGTAGAATTAAAAGTATTTGCACATACATACCTGATCAAAGCGAGAAAAAAAAATCGCGACTGGCGACGGAGGAGGAGGCGGAGGAGGCTTTAGATTGGAGACGCGGTTGAGGCGACTGGCGACGGAGGAGGAGGCGGAGGAGGAGGGATTGAGGCGGCGGAAGAGCTCAGAGACTCAGAGAGAGAAAGTGAGAAACGAAGGGATTTTAGGGTTTTGTTTTGGGAATAAGGGGTATAGAATGCCCATTTAGACCCGTTTAATTGGATGTAAAATGCACCCGTCCGTTTAGACCCATTTAATTAAATGAGTGGGTTTTGGGCGGGCCAAATAATGGGTGGGCCAGATGGGTAAATGGGTATGGGATTTTTTTTAATCAACCTCACAAGGGCTGCTTATTGAAGAGCAGCCCATGTTTTTATTTTATTTTATGTTTTCAAAGTGGTGGGCCCCACCGAAAAAATATAGGACGTGAGTCCCACCTGCATAGTAAATAATAATATTTTATTAGTGCATATTGTTTTTCCAAACACTATAAATAGACCCCAAATTCTTAAGGAAAACTCATTCCAAAAACAACAATCAATATATATACAGATATATATATTGTAGAATAGCTAGTGCTCGTAGGAACAGTGCCTAGACCGAGAATGTCTTATAGATCGAGGAGATCTTTGCCTGATAGATCGAGGAGATCTTTGTCTTATAGATCGAGGTGATCTTTGCCTGATAGATCGATGAGATTTTTGCCTTATAGATCGAGGAGATCTTGACAGTACTGGGTCGGTGCACACCAGAGCACCGGGCTGCAGTTCCTAGAAGCAATTTGGTTTTGGGATCCTTACACTGGAGTAGGCGAAATAATGCTTTAAGCACATTGTTTTACAAACGCACAGCAGCTGAGTTGAAAAATTTTAAATTACTACACTTAAGTTTTCTGTTCAGTTTTTACTGTTATATATCTGTATTATTTCAGATTTAACCACATGTGCCAACACCCATAACCCAAAGGTTAGCATCAAGCTCCGTCATCTGGCTAATACCAAGTCAATTCAGTTAATTATAAGTTAAATACGTGATTGGATGTTAGAATTAAAAAGAACTTAATAACGGAACTGAGACCAAGATCTCCACTAACAAATGATTATTACATGTTGGGATAAGCACTGCATCCAAGCGGGAGAAAGGACTACTTCAAAATCGATTAGTAATTAATTACGGTAATGTTTGCAACAGGGCGTAGTAAAAAAGTGTTTCCCCCGGTTTTTTCGGATAGTCCCCTTCTCCGACGAAAGTCAAACTCGTTTATGCTGATTTTTCAAAATGGATCAAGGTTGAGTAGAAAAATTCCTCTGAACAAAAAAAATTGCTGATTATACATCTTATTATTTTTATTATGATTCAAATTTAATGGGTATGGTTATCCCGATTGCTATGGTATTAGTATTGTTCTTTTGTGGGAGGTAACGCTACCAAGATAACCATATTCACCTCTTTTTTTCTGAGATTTGAAACAAACAATAGATTATAAATACTGGAATTTGTTTTCCTGTTTTTTGGGGTTTAAACCAAGTAAGAGGTTGCAAATTTTAGGATTTGCTTTTTCTATAATCATGTTGAATCAAACAAAATATTAAAAATTTCGAGGCATATATAAAACTCTATAAATTTGAAATTCATAATGAGGTTCTAAATTTTATAATTTTAAGATTTGAACAAAACAGACCTTTAATTCATCATCGTGCATATAACCAGACCTTTAACAAAGAAGCACAAAGTCACGTATAATATCCATAGAAGTACATGAATACGCCACTGAA